GGGTGGGGGGTGTTTTCGTTTGTTCAGTGTGGGTGGGGGGTGTTTTCTCCATTACAGCCTGTCTTTGCAGCTGCCTCTAGCCTTGCTTAATAGAAATCTAGCGGCCCTGCACGAACGGATCTCTGGCATGACGTCACACCCCATATGTAGAAGTGAAGGAGCTGTTTGCAAAGTCACAACTGAAATAACTTTAAATCATCACAAAATTATGTTTATAAAACCAGTTTGCTGTACTGTTGCATTGTACTTTAAAACATAATTACTGGTAGTCTTCATTGACCCTAATCTAACAGAACACACATATACAGTAGTCACTCAATTATTGCAGGGGTTATGTTCCAGACACCATCGTGATAGGTGAAAAAACACCAAGTAGGAACACTATATTTATTTTAGTATTTATACTAGGGGTGTAACGGTACACTAAAATCACATTTCAGTTTGGTTCAGTTTCAAGGAGGGATCGGTTCGGTTAATTTTCGGAACAAAAAAGGCCAAAATAAAGACTTACAAATGTTTGTTTTGAAAATATGCCAAGTAAAAAATACGTTTGTATAAAAAAATAAATAAATAAATTTCCTGAAGAGTAAGAAAACTCAGCTGCTCAGCCTTCTGTGACATCCTCAGACTGCAAACTCAAAGAGGTAAAAAACTGACTTAACAAGATTATAATTTTAAATTAAAAAAAATAATTAGATCACAATAATACAATAACATTACTTCTTCTTGCACAGTCATCATTTCTGTTATGTGGTGGTTGAATCTCTCGCTCATCATCATCATCAGGGCAGGGCTTTAAATCTGGGGTCGGGCTTGTTGACGATCAGTTTTAGCTTTTTCATAAGTCAGAGTCAGAGTCAGAGTTTCTTTATTGTCATTCGCACCTCATGTGGTACATGTGGTGGAGCGAAATTATGTACATGGGGTCCCAGTTACATCCAACAATAAAATGTCTAAGAAAAACAGTAATAACATCTAAGATATGAACTAAGAAAAACATCAACTAAATATACACTAAGCACTCATAACATAAAACATTGAACATCAGCACAAACATGAACATGAGTCTGTGAGCAGATGTGCACGCATGAACACATCAACAAAAGTGCTGCTACAACTTTTTGGCTGAAGTGTTGATGTGATGGGATGTTGTAGGCAGCGGGGCTCAAGAACTTTAATCATATGCTTAAAGTCGGCGCATCAACAACAGAATATGGACGTAGATCCAGAGCTTTAAAAACTCCTACAGCTTGTGTTATTGTTTTGGACCGATCTGAGTTACCTGATAAAGGTTGTTTAAATGCTGCTGCTATCGGACTTTGCACCAAGCTGCTAGAAGAGATGTTCACATTCGGATGATGTTGTTTCAAGTGCGTTAACAAGTTAGACGTGTTGCCTGCTGCAGATCCAAACTTCATGAAACAATGTTGACACAGCTTTGGATTAGTCCACTTGTCTTTTCCTATTGTTGAGTTTTAACAAGAAAGCCATAATGTTCCCAAACAGGAGACCGCAATGAGATGAAAGGGCCTCCTGCTAGGCTGCTAATGCTATGCGTGCTTCAAGGCTATGCAACAATTAATAGCGCCGTGCTGAAACACTATTAGGAACTTTAGTTCCACGGCGCATAATCTCTCGTTAATAAATTTAATGAGTGAAAAATTTACCGAAATGATACGCACATGGACCGAACCGAACATGCTGTACCGAAACGGTTCAATACACCCACATGTACTATAATTAATACATATTTTAAGGCTTTATAAACCCTTCCCACACTGTTGCAGTGTTCTTAACAATGTTCTAAACTCTTAAACCTACATAATTTTAACAACATACGTATATGTACTGTACAGTGCTGCAACATTTTATATGGGTACTCACCAGCTCTGCAGACCATCAGCTTGGTGCCGGTTCGGCAGACCTACCCTGCAACATGACGTCCACCGCCCCATCCAGGTAGCTGGGCGCATGGATAATTGAGCTTCAGGAGGCTTCAGGAATATTTGCGACTTTCCTACCAGTTCTGTGAGCTTAATAGATAGATCGTTACTTCTGATTTTGAGTTGCAAAACTGTCCCTCCATTTCAGCAGAAAGCAGCGGCCAGAAACACTGTTGGCTTCTGGGCCATGTAGTTCTTTTGACTTACATTACAGTATAGGCTTATTGAAAGAAAACTACAAAATGGTGGCACCTGTCTGAAGTTTGTTTTTTTTTGGTTAACTTTTTATCCTGTGCCATCGCAGTCATGTGAGTAATATTAAAGGTAACTATCATGTGTCACGTACAATCTTACGTTGAAAAACTGCAAAAGAGCGAGTCTGTGAAAGTCAAACCGTGAAGTAGCGAGGGACTACTGTAACTCGAGAATCACAGCTTTTACAGTAAAAAGATTTTTACATCGCACAAGCACCATTCTTCTGAATGATCGAAGAACTTCTTGTCAACCAACATTCAGAATGTCTTCCTTGTTTTCTGTCTTGGTGATCAGATTTTAAATGGAGATGAGATTGTGGGATGCCTGACAGTGGAGCCGTATATGCTCGGAAAGTTTGTCAAACTGACCAACAACACCAGAGAGAAGAACAAGACTTTTCAGGCTACAGATTATGGCCTTGCCTTTGGACACTTTACCTACATGTTCTCTGGGGGTCGGGAAGTTGTTGTAGACTTGCAAGGTATGGGTGTGAATGCAGGTTTGTCTCTGATAACTGAATATTTTAATGATTGCTGATATGTTTCTGCTTTATGTTTGATTTGAGTCTTTTTTCTCAACAGGATGGGTAACAGCCAATGGGAAAGGTCTGACTTACCTCACTGACCCACAAATCCACTCCACCAGGACCCCAAAAGGTCTGGGGAATTTTGCTGAACGTGGGATCACCATGTTTCTGGAGCAGCAACATGGACCAGAGTGCAATGCAATTTGCCAGCTGCTCAAATTGCCTCCAGTAGCCAAACATGTTCTTCTTTAGACATGTTGAGCTTTTGATAATGAGTGTGTCCAGTTATAGAATTATAAAGTCCATGAGAGGAAATATTACTGATATGTTCAGTTTTTGGAAAATAACGGACAAAAGTTTTGTATAATTTTGGTACAAGTTTCTGCTTTTGGCTTACAAAATAAAGTGTGACAACTTTCTGTTTTGTTTTTTTTACTGTTTGTTAATCTGTATGTATCTGTAGTGTGAAGATGACTCTCTTTTTATGAACTTTAACCTAAAATCACCTTTCAGTACCTGTTTGAGACGGTTCTGTGAAAAGATCTTTCTGACCACACTGAATTGATTGGACACATGTACCATTCATGAATACTCTGTACACGTTTTTAAAATGTGCAAAGGAAAAAAACCAAGTTGTGTAATGAAATGTGCTTATTTATGTAACTTCTAAAAGATTAACAAGTTGTATGTTGATGTTCCCCATTGCTGAGGGATTTGTTTTCGAGACTAGTGTTTTTCTGGACTGGAACTGAAAAGAGAATGGCAATAAACCTTAAAGTTTTTGATGCAAAATATAAAAGTGGGCAGGAGTTACACTGTATAGGAACATAGGTAGGTTTTCTTTTTGTATTATTAGGCCCGAGCAGCTAAGCGCTGCGAAGGCCTATTGTTAGTTATTTATTTATTTTGCTGGTCCGAGGCAGTGCCGAGTGACAGATCATGGCGAGATAAGGGAACAGTTTTGTCTACGACCAAGTACATGGAGCCAGAGTTGCCATTGGTGGTCTTGGCCACTATGGATTAATCTTCAGCCACCCTACTCATATGAGGAAACTATGCTTTCAAGCAATATAAAAACTAGAATGTAAAGTTGGCAACCCAGTTTTCAATTGTGACCTTTCTTATGCCTAGATGTAGCCACACACTAAAATGGAAGTCAGTATCTCGCTTATTTTTCAAGTTATGCTCACAACATGCACGGAAGACAGAAGAGTGTATTTCCAATTCTCCCCCTTTGCTTTGCAATGGGTGACAGTAATGATGGATGATAATTATTTGTAAAATAATTTAATAATATATATTTTTAATTGTTTACATTATCTTTGTTTGCTTTTGTCTTCCAGGGGTGATAATGCGTTTAGACATGAGAAGAAAGTTTTCTCACTGTAGGGAGTCAAACTATCAGTTCTCCAGAATCTCTCTTTCTCATTCATTATTTTCATTCAACCTTTATACAGGTTAGTCTCACTGAGCCACAAGGACTCATTTTCAAGAGAGACCTGTTATAGACAGCTAACATATAAAGTACAGACAACAATAATTCAGCAAAAAGCAATTAAAATCAAATAAAAGTTATAAACACAATAAAATCAAGAAGCCATAAAAAACAAGGTCAAACACTAAAAACGAGCATATTTGCTTTGATGTTTCTATTGAAATTTTTAGATGTTTAAAATCCCTTAAAGAGATCAAAATCAATAGCTTCAGATCTTTTTGCAATGTGTTACAGGAGCAGAGTAAGAGAACGCTGCAGGTAATGAAGGTTTGAGAGCGCACGCTGTAGCTGCACTGCAACAGTGGAAAGGAAAAACTCACTTTTAAAAGGAAGAAACCTCCAGCAGAACCAGGCTCAGACCAAGCGGCCATCTGCTTTGACCGGCTGGTTGAGAGGACAGGAAGGAGAGACAGACAAACTTAGAATGGTAGGTGCAGATATAGGTCCAGATGTATCTGAAAGACAAAAAAAAACACACGTTAAGGATAGAAAAAATAATTACAAATACAAAACAGGTTGAGTAGAGCGAGTAAAGACAGCAGTATAGTGAAGAAATGTGGTCAGTTTGTCCTCAAGCAGTCTAAGCCTATAGCAGCATAACTTGGGGACAGCTCAGGAAACCCAAGCCAACCCTAACTATAGGATTAATCAAAAAGGAAAAATCTAAAAAAAAGTTAAATCTGGTCCTCTTGACATTCAAAAAACAAAACAATAAAAAAAAATGTAGAAAATTCCGTCTTTCATCCGAAAGAATGATGAAAAACAATGTTTCTACATTTTTTTTTATTGTTTTGCTTTGTTTTTTTTAATGTCCAGAGGACCAAATTTAACTATTTTAGATTTTTCTACCTGGATTATTGAGCTTGCATCAGGACAAAAAGGAAAGACTTAAACCTAGTCTTAAAACTGGACAATGAGTCTGTAAGGATGGTACTTTTCTGTGGCCCGGTTTGTGTCTGTTTCCCTCGTGCTTCCTCGTTAGTTTCCATTGTTGCCACCTGTGTCTCATCCCAGCTGTTTGTCATCATGTCTCGTCTTCTCCCAGTATTTAAGCTGCCCTATTCTGTCTTGTCCTTTGTCGGGTCTTCTTCGTTGGTACTCTCCCTTGGGTCTCCTGAGTCTTGTCCTGAGTCTTTCCCTGAGTCTTCCTGGTCCCTCGAGTTCCCCGTGTCTCTCTTGTCGCCTGAGTTCCCCGTGCCTATTCATGTAAGTTTTGCTGCCCCGTCAGCTTGTTTATTTTGTACTTTTATTTTCCATTAAAACATATTTTTTGTATATCTGCCGAGTTGAGTCCCTGTTCTGCACTCTGGGTTCGCTGCTAACCGCAAACTACGACAGAGTCAGCCTCACGAACAGAAACACAAGAGAGGAGCCTGATAAGTGCTCTGTTAGGAAAATATGGAACAATAAGATCTGCAATATCAGATGGAGTTGGGTTGTTAAGAGCTTTGTAGGTTAGAAGTAAAATTTTGAATACTATTCTGAATTTGACAGGGAGTCAGTGGAGAGAAACTAAAACTAGAGAGATATGATCTCGCCTACTAACTCTCATTAAAACACTGGCAGCATTATTTTGGATCAGCTGAAGACTTTTTAAAGAAGTTTTTAGACACCCAGTTACAATAGTCCAGTCTATACTGGACTATTGTATACGACGAGCTGAAGGAAGTTGCAGAAAGTGTGACCTCTGCAACCATAACAAAGTCAAGCTATGACCAACTGGCTAAAATGGCACTCTTACTAAAGGCTAAATTTTATATTGAGGCCAACAAAGCTGAAGACCTTGCAATAAGGTTAAACAGCGAAACAGAGGAGTATCTAAGACTCATGGCACAGTCTAAATTTGATAAGGAGACCTGGGAAAATGACTTAAAACGTGAGAGAGAGCTCTCACAAGCTCAGCTGTCGTTACAAGCAGACTCATATGAGGTGAAGCTACGGGAAACAGAGATTAAGTACCAAGCACTGTGTTCAAACAATGATGCGCCACAACGAGAGGTGCAGCTCACATCAAAAGCTCTGAACGAGTGCAGATTGGAAAAGGCGGCGTTAGTCCAACAAGGCGTGCATTTACAAAGTGAATGTCATACATCACATGAATGCTTAAAAGCCTGTGAGGCGAAACTAGCCGCAGCAACAAATGAGATTTCTGACGTGGGGCAAGTTTGTCTGGAGCTCAAAGACGAACGAAGTCAGAGTCCAGGTCACCCACCACCACCTCAGAAGGATTTTGCTGTACCTCCTGCTCTTAATCCCCTTCTGTCACCTCCACGTGAGTCTAGTGACTCACCTCCACATGCTATTTTGGTTCTTACGACACCAATCACTCAGCCGCTGCTCTCGATTTCGGATTTGCACAAAATTACAAAATATGTCCAATGCTTTGAGCCAGGGCCGTTGGGTTCAACCGACACTAAGGCCTATCTGAACGACCTTGACTTCCAATTAAGAAACTATCCCAACGCTACAGTTGAGGATAAAGTAGGTTTGATCAGGCTCACTTCAACCAGGACGGTGTTTTCCTTCATAGAGCGTCAACCTGATGCCACAAGAAAAGATTACCGCCTGTTATGTGCTGCTCTTATGAAAGAGTATTCCCCTTGCGCAGGACCTGGCGGTTATCCAGCCGCTGACAAGGTCATGCAAGGTAAGAATGAGCACCCCAGGGCATATTATTCCAGGATTTTGCAGGCTTATTTTAGTTATAGGAACGAGACCAGCATGGAGGAGGAGGAAACGTTTAAGTTCGTTTTTAGCAAAAATCTCCACCCTGACATAAGGATGTCAGTGCAAATGATGGCTAATTTCAAAGAGAAATCCATCAGTGAGATAAAAAGTTGTGCTATGAATGTCTTTGAAGCCCGTTCACAGGCCAAAACACCCATTGAGGTGTTCCCAGGTGAGAGGATTCCTGCCCAGTCATTAGAATTGGAAGCGACGAGAGCTTCGACTCCCCCTCCCAAAAAAGGCGAGAGGAAACGAGGTTTCCCAGCAGCCAAACCACAACAGGTGAGTGCCCCCTGGTCCAGACGAGATCCTAAATGGTTTCCCAAGGAATCAGAGGATGAACGACTGTACCAGAAGGGGGGCGAACGCCCTAAGGGTAAAAAGTATGGCACCAAAAGTGACCCATACAACCAGGGATCCCACCGGGAACCCCAAAAGGGGGGTACTGTTTCCCCACCACGTCGGGCTGAACAGCCTGAGGCAAAAAAGAAACAGCAGCAGGTCCAGAAAAAGAACCGCAATCCTCTGAGCTCGGACGAGACAGACAGGGTGCATCGGTTGTTGGACTTGTTGGTTGGTGTTGCCACGGACAAACAACCTAACGCTTTGTTTGGCGATATCATTGCTGATAAGTCAGAGCACACAGACAACACCGTTACTGCTGTCACAGACAGTCACCATGACGTTGTTGTTGTAAACTCTGACACGCCCTCACCTGAAATAGGGGGTGTACAATCACACGTCACCGACGGTGACCCGTCATAAACTGAAACCTCAGAAACAGCAACAGCTGTGCTAACGGTTCAGTCCAAACAGGGTGACACAAACAACAACGCACTCTGGACAGGTCTCTAGTCCATCACAGGGACACATAGACAAACAAGATAAACAACCATTCACGCTCTCACTCACACCTAGGGACAATTTAGAGTTACCAATCAGTCTAACATGCATGTTTTGGGTCTGTGGGAGGAAACTGGAGTACACAGAGAAAACCCGCACATGCACGGAGAGAACATGCAAATTCCAC